AGTGTTTAATAACAGAAGTCCACGGAAAATACTTGAGATACTTTGGCTAGACACTATCACCAACAACCTACTGGAGGAGAGAGCAAACCATATTTCAGTGGAGGAGGAAATCATGATGAACGGTGGAGATGGATAGTACTTATATTGAGAAAAGCACCTAATTGAGTCACGAGACAAGTCTTCACTTGGAATCCTGAAGGCCAAATGAAAAAAGCGAAGGCTAAGGAACACATTACGCCGATCAGATATTAGAAGAATGAACAGCAAGCGGGGAGAACTAGAAAGGAAGGTGGAGGACAGATTCGCTCGGAGAATGCTGTTCTTCAGCCTCACATACAAATGAGTTGCATTGATGTTGTCCAAAGAACCGCAAAAGACACCTATAGGATGGGAATCTCATGGACTCAAAATCATCAAAGCATCCTTCTAAACGAAGAAAGAGGGTATTACGATGAAGGTCATCTAATGATATCCACCTATCAACGACTACAATGGAGAGGTTAAAGGCTAATTTTATGAGAGGCTGCAGTCAATCGTCAGGCCGTGCTCATCAAAGTGTTTGAACATTCTGATGGTATACCTAAACGTGAAGGTTGGCATGGACAACACTGGATCTGAAGACATCATGACACGATATGGACTGGGAGAGAGGAATGAAAGTGGTGAGAGATTTGCAAACTTACATGCCTTCAACATACTGGTCATCGTCGGCACCATATTCCTACACAAACGCATACACAAAGCTACATGGATTTCACCGGATCACACTACTCAGAACCAAATCGGCCATATTTGTATCAATAAAAAGTTCAGAAGGACCATGGAGGATGTGAGAACCAGGAGAGGAGCTGATATAGCCTCAGATCACCATTTGCTGATCGCCAAAATGAAACTGAAGCTAAAGAAGCACTGGACAACGGGACAGACGACATCACACAAGTTTAATACGGCCTTGGAGAAAACTGGTGGGCGGCCTATGCTCCATTGGGGGTAACAGGCGTAAGTAAGTAAGTAAGTTCTTCGGTATACTGTAAAACTCGACGAATTCAAGATAGCCCTCACCAATAGGTTCCAGGTCATGCACGACATACTCAATGGAGAGGAAGCAACATTGGAGAACAATTGAAAAGGGATCTAGGAGGCAATCACTTCAACATGTCACGAAATTCTGGGTCACAAGAAGTACCATCATAAGGAATGGATCTCTGTTGGTACTCTTGCAAAAATTGAAGAAAGGAGGAACAAGAAGGCAGCAATCAATGTCAGCCGAACAAGAGCAGAGAACGTTACCGCACAAGCTGCATACACAGAAGCAGACAGGGAAGTGAAGAAGAGAATCAGAGCTGACAAACGAAAATATGTGGAAGATCTAGCAATCACGGAGAAAAAGGCTGTAAGAGACGGAAACTTGAGACAATTGTACGAAACAACAAAGAAGCTCGCCGGAAACTATCGTAAACCAGAATGACCAGTGAAAGGCAAGGAAGGCAAAGTAATCAGCAACACTGAAGAACAGAGAAGTGGGTGGATAGAGCACTTCAAGGAACTATTGAATCGACCAGCTCCACTGAACCCACCCAACATCGAAGCAGCATCTACAGACCGCCCAATCGATGTTGGCGCACCCACAATTGCAGATATCAGCATGGCCATCAGACAAATCAAGAGCGGCTAATCAGCTAGACCAGACAAAATTCCAGCAGAGGCAATGAAATCATGTGTGGAAACAACTACAAAAATACTTCACATTCTCTCCAACAAGATTTGGGATGAAGAACAAGTACGCAACAACGCAGGCAAGATAAGAAGACCAGCTTAGCAACAGGTCACAATCTACTAAACAGAAAAGCAAGATTCTCCTATACAATACAACATGCGCCAACCAAATCACTCGTCATAGAGATGCCTTTGAGGACGTCAAAACCTTTATATTTCTAGGCAGCAGCATTGACGAGCAAGGCGGATCTGACTCAGATGTTGATGAGTGGATCGGTAAAGCAAGGGCTGCATCTCTACAACTAAAGAACATCTGCAACTTAAAACAACTATTAAATAACACCAAAACCAGAATATCCAATACAAATGTCAAGACAGTTCTACTGCACGGGGCGGAAACTTGAAGAACTAAGGAAGCCATCATCCAGAAGATACAATTATGTATTAACAGTTGTCTAAGCAAAATACTTCTGATTCGTTGGCCAGACACCATCAGTGATTAACGTCTGAGGCAAAGAACAAACCAGATTCCTTCAGATGAGGAGGAAGTCAGGAAGCGCTAGAGGCGGATAGAACACACACTGCAAAATACGCCTAACTGCGTCACAAGACAAGCCCATTGCTTGGATTCTTCAAGGACATAGGGAAAGAAGAAAGCTAAGGAACATATTACGCCAATAAATGGAGGCGAGAAGACGGAACAAAAACTGCACAGGACAGAGTATGTTGGAGAATACTGGTTGTTGGCTTATGATCCACCGCGGGTAACAGAAGTAAATGAGTAAAGTAAAGTAATTCCTAGGCGAGCTCCGTTTGTGAATTGGTGGGTATAAGATGCTAAACACACGTTTGCTGATGATTTTTTCCATGCATTCAATTAAACAGATAAACATGAGGATAAAAATCGTTAAATCAAAGTAAAGCAAAGCAAAGCAAAGTGGAAAAGGTGAGTGAGCCAACTCAATGAATTTAGACGTGACTAAGCACTTAAAGTCAGACAAAACTAACTGAAACACGCATGTACACACAAATTCGAGTGAAAACAACCAAAGATATGAGCGAATAATTGACATATTTACACACACACACACACACACAAGACACATTTTCATCACAAAATGTGAAAAACATGAACAAAACCATATTGAATGTTACCTCAACTTGAATGATAACATTTAGAAATAAGAAAACAAGTATTCAAGTTTTATTGATAATAAACTTCCATAGCATTCTAATTGGCCAGACACCATCAGCAACAACGAACTGTGGGAGAGAACAAACCAGATTCCAGTGGAGGAGGAAATCAGGAAGAAGCGGTGGAAGTGGATAGGACATACACTACGAAAAGCACCGAACTGCATCACGAGACAAGCCCTCACATAGAACCCTCAAGGCAGAAGGAAAAGGGGAAGGCCAAAGAACACATTACGCCGAGAAATAGAGAAAGATATGAGACGAATGAACAAACATTGGACAGAACTGGAGACGGAAGCCCAGGACAGAGTTGGTTGGAGAAAACTGGTGGGCGGTCTATGCTCCATTCGGGGTAACAGGCGTGAGTAAGTAAGTAAGTAAGCATTCTGATTGGCGAAAAAAAAGCACAATACAAATGGACAGATTCGATGCATTCATGTCAACACTCGAAACACTGGAAAAGTAATTTGTATTCAAGATTTCAGTAAACAAACTTTTTTTAATTCACTAACGAACCACTATATTAATGTCTGAGTCTGATCGATCTAAGGATTTTCTGCAACCTCTCTGCTGGATGCTGGCCTAATGATCCACAGGTTAGGCATTCACACTCAAGACCAAAGGTCATGTGTTTGAATCCCACAAATTGCGCGAGTCGTGAGAGTACACTGATGATGAATCGCGTATCAGAACGAAACAGCCGTCAAGTTCTTTCAGCTTTCTAGTGGTGATCTGTCAATGATCGATTCACGATTTTAACAATAAACAACTGTCTGTCTAACAATATAATGAAAAAATTTCTACAACACTCACAATATGATATTGCGAAACCATACGTTTAGAACTGAACGAGAGTTCATATCGAAAATAAATGACAATCACATCATCATGGAAGCCTTACACAATTCAGTTGGTAAATGAAAGCTCTCCTTATATTTATGACGATACTTCGGTATGCGGAGAAGGAAATCAGGATGAAGGCTGGAAGCTGATAGGATACACCTTGAAGGAAACGCCCAACTGTATCAAAAGACAAGACCTTACTTGGAATCCTGAATGCCAAAGATGAAGGTGATAGTACGTTAGAGAATGCTGGTTAACAGCCCATGCTTCATTAGAGGGTGAAAGACGTAAGAAAGCTAAAAGGTAAGTAAGTAAGTCTCATTTATTTTAATAGATCTTATTACACTAATTTCCTCCTGTCTAGTGAAAGAAATTGGATCATGTGGACTCCACTGAACATTTCTGGTGAGGTGTGTAGTTTGGTTTTCCATTTTTACAAAACACTAACGATGTCATCCCTATATGACGAAAATGTAATCTTAATCGGATTTTCGATTTGCTAATAATCACACTACTACTGCTGCTGCTCACATGTTCATCAAAAAAAATTCATATTGTTCACTGTGGCATACACATAAATGAAACCGAAACTATGCAATTCAATTTATATTTGGAATTAATTACTTCAGAAAAAAAGAATCTTTTTTCAATTGAATATTTGACTACAGTGGCTTCATTACATCAATGTGAGTGTAAAACACAACAACAGCAATACATATCTACATTGTCAGTCTCAATTATTTCACTGACAGCTTATATTCTGTCAATTTGAATTCTATTAATAACTTTTAATTATATTAGGGAATACATAATCATATGAACAGTTGAAATGAAAAACCATTGCAGGGAATCAAAATGAATCTGTGCATCACAACATACATTCTAATGAAGCGGTGCGTACGCATGCACATGTTAGTTAACAAGTATGATGATGATACATTACTGTCTATGCATGAGTATAAGTAGGATATTTCCATCACATCATTTGACGAAATGATAGCTTCGCAGAGTTGCATGTCAGTTAACTCTGTATACCTGTTTGTAGATTCACAATAGAACAAACATATGACAATGAAGCTAACTAACTAACTAACTACATAGTCAATCACATGAATCATGACGAATTGAAACAATGAAATTGATATATTTAATGAGACGTCAGACACTAACTAGATGATATTAGTTATCACCACAGAGTGTTTTAACTGCTAATAACTGTGAGTGCATACTAATCAGAGTATAGTGCAATGTTATTGTCGAGTGAATTTTGGAGAAGATTGTTCATCATATGTAACTGTAGTTTTGTGGTGAGTATCTTCATTTGTGTGCCCCTTTCATGATTCATTTCATTCAACCATTTCATTGAAGATATTTAGCATAGTTGTGTTGGCAATTAGCATCGGTCCGCAGGTCACTCTGAATGGACTCAGTGCAATTTTAAATAATGCCAAACCATTGGTCTTCCTGATTGCTAGTATTGCAGGAGGACTTGGTGTATTGGCATCATGTGTTGGTGTTTGTGGATACTTGAAACAACACAGAATGATCGTATATGTGGTAATTGATGCATTCAATGTGGACAAACATTTGTTGTTGTTGTTTTTGTTGATTTGTGTGTTTAGAATATTTTTCTTCTGTGTTTGGTGACACTGATGGAGATCGGTGTAGCTGTGAACGTGGCTACGACGGAAGACAAGGTTTGTTTGGTTTAGAATGAATTTGATGCAGACTAAAAAACACTCTCTTGTGGTTTGGTCATTATAGTTTTACGAGTTAGCTCGTGAATCTCTGAATGCCACTGTGAGAGATTACTACAAGAACCCTACATACCAAATGCAATTTCACACTGTACAATCAGAAGTATGTTTTTTGAAACAACTAATCATCGAATTGTGTGTCATATATAGTTTCACTGTTGTGGTGCTAGGTCTTACATGGACTACTCACTAGTTGCAGCTCCGAAATATATTCCCAAATCGTGTGATATACAAAATCTGGTTGATCAGAAAGTAAGTCAATATATACCAAGAACTATTCACCATTTGATTTATTTTGATATACAGATTGTGATTTCTAATTTATTTATCACAACCATTAGCAAATATCCACCAAGTTGTATTATTCACTTCAGTTATACATTTAGTCATGACCAGTTTTAATACCGATTAGTGACATGTTGCAAATCCTCATTTGGTTGACTGAAATCATCACAATAATGTGACTGTGGATTTGTACACACAGTTTGTTATTTGATGTTCGGCTTTAAGGCCGTTTCAGTTAGCATCACTATTACTCGACTCTATCACCATGTGGTACATAGTTAAGTGAACTTCATTTGAGTTGATATGTTCATTTCATTTGTGAGTGACATGTGGTAGGATTTCAAAATTCTTATTTGGTTGTAGACAACACAACGAAAGGCGTTTCCTTTCATCTCATCTTATATGATCAGACAATTTTCGATTATTCTGAAATTCGTTGCCTTTAAACAGGTGAAGTGATTTATTTTGGTAATTGCTTGTATAATGCTTCTCATAAACCTATTATGTTCCTCTATTGTAATTCGGTTTACTGTTTTCTACTATTGACAGGGTTGTATAACAATGTTAAACGACTTTGTACGAAGTTGTCTGAAAAGATTAATGTATGTGTGTTTCATCTTCGGTTTTATTCAAGTTTTCTACTTGATTTTCTCGCTTTTGAAAAATCTTAAAGTTGAAGATGTTAACTCTGCATTCGCCTAACCATTTAACTGAAATGGAATGGAAATTCAGTAGTTGAAAATGAAAAAAAATTTTCAGTGAAGTTTATCATTGAATGATTCGATGATGACTTTTAACCATTTAATATTGAATGGCTATTCAATTGTCATTTTATTTTTGATGAAAATAAAAATTAATTCATGAATAACTTGACTTCTTCTTCAAATAAACTGTAATTGAGTGCTAATTGACAGTCAAATCCAATTGATTCTGAATGCACTTCTGTTTATAAGAATGCTATAAAACTATACAAAGTCATTTGAATGAGATTTTCATTTGATAACTATCAGTAATAACTAAACGGACAAGTGCATATCATTAGTCAAGAAATAACTTATCTTTCAAGGGAGATAGAATAATATACTTGATAACTTACGGTTGTTACTGCTCTTTAAGTACCGATGCCAACCATTATTCTCTCATCAACTCTCTTCTCCAATCTGTATTTACAGTTGTTTTCCACTTGCTATTGATTCTTTTCATGTCTATCTCCAATTCTTGGCACTGTGTATTCTTTGGCTATGAGAGTTCCAAGTGAGGGTTTGCTTCGTGATTTATATATAATGACCAGAAGTAAGGTCATTCGACGGGATAATTTAAGAAAGGAAGAATGGAGTATGAAATAGTAGTTCGTAAACAGATAAGATGGATCGTGTGATAGTTACTCAAAGTTCATATAGGTTTTAAATCACTTGGAAATAAAAATAGAAAGTTTAAAATGATTGGTTAGCAATGATATTGAATTAGCAATCGAAAAGTTTGGACAATTAATATTAGTTATGTCCATAACTAACCAATCAAATCATGGTTTAAGCGCTCATCACGTTGAGCTGGTCTGACATGTCTGTAAACTTTCTTTGTTGTAAATGACCTACTATTTTATGATATGAATGTGACTCATAATTTTATTCATTTCCAAAAGACACACTATATTGGTCGGTATGTTTGCTCGTTTCAATTGATAATTATAATTTCCTTAATTATTGTACTAATCTAATTGTTTTTATGTTTAGAAACAGATAGTTTAAAGTCAACTTGTCTTTGTTCTGACTTATAGCTTTCCCACCGATTCTTCCTATTGTATATATTAGATTTGAATTGACTGTTTGTTAACTAGTCCGTTCGAGGCTACTTGTAGATTAAACAATCTTCCTGTTGATTTTGTACTTCTTGATCTAGTTAGCTAATCTGAACCGCAAAAGATAGTTTAATTGTCCCGCTATTATGTCACTAGTTTCCGTTATTGTCAATGATATGAAATCGTATCTCAATTAGTCCCAGCGATAAATCTCTTTCGGGACATATAAATCAGGTTTTAGTTGTTTCTTTTATTGTTACTGCCGAAGAGACGCTGTCTTTTTGTTGTTGTTATCTGTTAATCATTTTGAAAGATTGGAGGATGATATCACTGATGCGCCCGGTCACTGCACCACTCAATCTCAAATTCATAGGAACATTCTCGAAAATACGAGCATGTAGGTAGCTACTCTCTACTCTGCTCCTACAATTTATTTATTTTGGTATTTACATGCAAATTGGTAAACGTGAACTTAACAATTTTTGTTTGTATAAAGTGGGGAGTTTGTTTTAAGTAACATCAAAATTTCCGCTGTTGAATATATGTAATTTTCATTGCGGCCTTTTTAATATCGATTCTTTTCATTTCCTTTAAATGGTGAATAAAAGAAGCAGGTTTTCTTTTCAGCTGTATCATTCTTGATACTTAATGTTAGCTTATGCATACTTCTCGGTGAATTTTACTAGGTATGCATTTTTCCATTAGACGGACGATAACTAAGGTAAGATCCTATTCCAGGCTTTGCTTTAAGAAAATTTAACCAGCCTAGTTAAAAACAGGTTAGTACAATCCTGTTATTGTTTGTAAGTGATTGAACATAAATTGTTATACTTTGCATTCACTTCGTTCCATGTATTTTTATGATAAATATATCTATGAAGTTCATGGTATGGAATGAAATTCACCGTCTACTTCATATTCTTAAGCTTTGTATATTCGAAATTCCCTCCCTCCCAGGGCCTATTTTCGATTGATATAATTTATAGGAATCAATTGATCTATCTTCTACAAACCTGAACACTATATTATTATATCGGGATGGAAAGTGAAGTAAATACAAATTTATGAACTATTATCAGGCATATATATTATTCCTTTGATTATGAGCTTATTTATAATATCCCTCTGGATAGAACAGTGAGAAGATGTAATCTGATACGAAAAATGTTGTGATGTATTTGCGCGCTATACATTTCTAACAATCTGGTCATACATATACACACTTGTCAAGACATTTTATATGAAGATGAATAAAAGGTCAATTAGACATAAGGTGATAATTGTAAATAAAGAAGAGAGAGGAAATTAACGTAATATGAAAAGAATAAGAAAAGGTAGGAAATTGTCGCATTACCCTACGCCATTCAACTGCTTAAAGATTACCAGGGTAAATTCAAGCTTATAACAAATTGTTTCTGTACACATAAGGGGGGTTTTAATTCTCTAATAGCCAAAGCCTCCATAAATTTTTGAGTGTTAACGAATGGAATGATGTAAAAAATCAAATGTGTAAAAACACAAATCTTCAAAACTGAAAATATGGTCACATGTGCTCACTAGTGACTAACTTCGTGAGGAAATTCTCGGAGTTCTAGTGAGAAGACATGACCAATAGAATTCAACCCTGTCCGGTGTAGGCAGTAACTACCAAAGACAATGGGTGAGGTCGCGCAAAATCCCTAGATCAATCAGAGTTAGACATTAACACCTTTGGATACCAGCCCAGTGGTCCGATAGCTAGGCGTTTGCGCACAATCCCGAAGGTCCCAGGTTCGAATACTGCGAGGTGCAGGAGTCGTGGATGCGCACTGCTGATTAGTCCCATATCAGGACGAAAGGGCCGTCTTTCAGTGCTTCCATGTTTCTAATGGTGGTCTAACAATGATTGATTGATGATTACATATGTGTAAAAACACAAATCTCCAAAACCCTAACTGAAAACTATGGTTTAAATTTATCGTTCATATAGATAAACAATTTTTATCCATCTTCCCACTTTGTACTTCTTAAAACTTGTTCCCAAAAATATACTGATAATTACATGAAAACACATTAAAAACTTTGTGCAGTGGTTATTTAATTTCATTGAAAATGAATTTTAATAATCTTCCTACTACCAGTTTACATTTAAGTTGAAATGCAGTTGTATCCTAAATATTAAGTTGAACGATAAATTTATGCACCAAGATAATATTCAGCACATATTTCGATGACAATTGAATATAAAACTAGTTTTCTTTAAAAGTATTCCTGGTCTTATTCTGAAAAACTGATCGTTAAAGCTAAAGGAAAAAACCATTATGGGTTGGCTCACCTTTTTAGCGGCTCGTGATCCAGTTTGAACGAACAGTTGAATATGCTATGAAATAAATCTCCTCATCAGTTTCCATATATCATACTTAAGCGATCTCCGTTGATGCGACGGCAGTGCAATCGTTTGTACAAAGCGTTAAAGCAAAGCGAAGAGAAGCCAATTGGAGAAGGCGGACGAACCATCTCGATATAATGAGGTACAATTAAGCTAGACATGTAACAAGCGAAATAGAGGCACATACATACACACACACTCAAGCAAAAAGAACAACCAATACAAGAGTGAATGTTGACAAGGTCAAAAGATGATTGAATTTGACTCAAGAAGAATCAGATTAGTTCATTTGTCCGAAGGTTGAGACAAGCAAGCCCTGTGGGCTCAACATAAAATTATACACACTACA